GTTTGTACTCTCGCAGAAAAAGGTATAAAAGGGAAGGGATGAGGGGGTGAAAGTATCCAAAGTAGTACTCACCAGGGAAAGCAGGCTGATTTTACGTTGACATGGTAAAATAAAAAAGAGAAAGGCCAAGATTATATGCAAGGTTGGGGAATGAGGGCAAAGATGGAAATGTGGTTTCCCAAATAATGCAGGGCCCCGTACATTATTTCAACCAAAAAAATAAAAGTGGCTCCAAAATCTACTCCGTACATTAAAGTAAATTAAAATAATAAAATAATAATAATAATAAAGATCCAGCTATTACATGTCCATGGAAAAGCAAGAACAGGGGGGGGCCGAAAAATGACGATCGTGGGCTTGGTGGGTACATGAGTCGGAGCATCAGTGCTCCGTGTCAAGGGCATGCAGAGCGGAGAAGGCGTAAATTCAAGAGTTCCCTTAAGGTTGACAGATTGAGTCTTTCTTTGGTCAATGGAATAGTCTTAGCGTCAGGATCTATCTCACGAACTACTCCCCGGTTCCATATATTGGAGATATTTTAGAAGTTCCAGGGTTTTGATTGGATGTTTCGGAGTAAAGGAACCTCTTAAAAGATAAATTGAAAATGGATAATTCAAAAAAGGAAAAAAAGAAAAAAGAAAGTAGTGGTTCACTAGTGTACGTCAAGTTCGGGGATCCCATGCCAGTGCTAATAAGCGGGCTTATGAGCGGCCAGTATTACCATTTACCCTAAAAAAAAAAAAAAAAAAAAAATCTTCCAAGGTCCTTCAAAACCAAAATATAACAAGACATAACAGTACAGGACAGAGTAGTTAAAAGTAAAAAAATGGTATAGAAGAACAATTGAAAGAAATATAACTATTGTAGGAAAGGTTGGGGAAGAGGGGATGTCTGGTAGGTAGACAGCGACGGGAGTAAGGAGGAGGGGGAGTTTCTGTCATAATGTGCCTGAGTCAGGCTAAAGTTAATTATATACTTGTGTTATTTTGTAATTAAATATATATTAAATCAAATTACATCCACACTACTTTTGTTGTGGGGGATCTGGGAGATTCACTCCTTACGGAGACAGAGTAGTTCGTGGCGAAATAACAAAAGTGAAGAACCATCCAATCCCATAGAAGAGGAAAAGACAACCCGGGTGTTGAGTCCAAAGACATGTACAAAGTAAACCAAGCCTCTCTCGTATGGTAAAAAAGAAAAAGCAAAAAAAAAGAGTCCAAGTGGATCTACTCGATAGACACCGAATCGAAGGAAAAGATCGCCGTTCCAAGGAGAGTTATCACTGGTTCCAAAAAGATCGTGTTCCGAGAAGAGCTTAACCTGGATGGTGGGTACAAAAGACAGAAAGGTTCTGGATTTCATTTTAACGAATCAGAAACCGCATAGGTGACGCCTCGGATCGATCGTAGATTGCCTGGAGCCTCTCATCGGGTGATTGATCGACCAAACGGAAAGGGAGAAGAGGGGCTGGTATTGGTTTACAGGGATAGATCGCCTAGGGGTTCTTCAATTCGTATCTCCACTTTCTTCGAGAGCTTGTGGCGTCCAGGGCTTTTTTGAGGAGGGGGGGGAGTTTGGCGTCGGGATTACTTTTCTGTCTCCGTATGTCAGATCAAGGATCACCCGGAGAACCCGCTTTGGTTTTTTCCCTTTTTTGCTCTCCCATTTTTACGTTATGCACTCGTGAGCTGGTACATTGGTGGCTGTTGATATGATTGGAGTGAAGATACCCTCGCATATGATATCTCTTAGGTGTGTTGCATTTTTGGTACTTACACTTAGCTTAGGATGTCACCGATCGCAAATTGAGTGATTTGCGCTAATTTGGATCTTTGCCTCGCGTATCGCGTCCACACGATGTACTCCGTAATCTGGACCACTATATGGAGTATTTTGGAGCAATTTCTCAGCTTGACACGACACACACACTAACAGACCCGCTCTATAAACTAGTCACATTCTGACAATTCAATAATGGCGCAAGTCTGTCATTTCTGGAGATTACTGGACTAAGCGCAAGCTGAGTGTGATCCAGCCCAGTGTCAGCCAATCAAGTCGTAACAATGGAGTTCCCTTTTCTGGATTTTTTGGTGATTGGATAGGTTCCTGGCGAATCTCGTAGCACAATGTGCCTTGAAAAAGGTGTCAGAATGCTATATTGAAATTGTTGTCAATCTACTGTACGACTCTAGCCCTATATCATAACCCCTATAATATAACACCTGTCTTTTCATCTGACACCCGAGTCTATTCACTTCAAAGTTTAATAACTGAACTTAACACGCAGTCCCCTCGGGCCCTAAGGTATGTCCTTTAGGCCCATATTGTCGATCCACCCATCAAAAGGAAGATCCCTTGGAAATTAAAATAAAATCAATTATTTTCGATCGGGAATGGAGCCAGCCCCGAAGCTTTGGATCTACCGAAACCTTTTTCTTATTCGCTGTTCCAGAGATCTGACTTGAAAAATCGGAACGTCAAAGTTTTCTTTGATGAAAATCTCAAACTGCAATCATCCACACTCATGAGCTAACAGATAAAAAAAGAGAGAGAAAAAAAGAGAAAGAAAATAAAAAGAAGGGAACTGGGATTCCAACCGATCGTCATACCTGCCATGTCCTTAGGTCCCGTCCCATTCACGAGATCAGAGATCGTGCATGAAGGAATGCAGATCATCGGATCTCGCAGGCAACCAGGATCTTCCCTGGGAAAATGACTGGTCCAATTTGCAGTTGATTGGTCCTCTCAAAGCTTTGAGCGCCATTAGAGGGGAAATGGAGAGGGGTAAACATAATATCTTGCCTCTCTTCTCGCATGCACTATGGGCCTGTATACCCTAGCGTCGGAGGAATTATTCCAGATCGGTGGAAACACATACTGATCCATGGATCCATGGACGCATCGGCAGTATTTGTCATTTCCGTTTCCCGGTTCTTGGGTCTACCGGGGGTTTATTTTGTATTCTATTATTTTATTATATTATTTTGTGTATTATGTATTATGTATTTTGTTTTGTATTTTTATTATTTTATTATATTTCATATCTCATATTTTCTTTTATAAATTAATTTATATTATATTTTGACTCCAATTTTTGAGTGTCTAACCTTATTTTTATTATTTTTATTATTCTGACATTTGATCTTCTATTTTATCTATTAAGGAGTATGTACATCGAAGAATTTTTGATATCAAATTGCCAAGAATTCCTTTTGCACTGAATAGTCTCCTTTTTGTGAACTGTCCAGAGGCCCGGTTTTTATTTTCTTCTTTTCCTACAGGCATCTGAAAAGAACCTCGATTGGGAATGTATTAAATCATAATAATAAAGTCCGTAGCGGTATAGTACATAGTACAAGTACTCCATAGCATAGTAACACAATACTGCAACCTTAGGCATCCGAAAAGGGCCTTCTGCATAGATCCAACCCCAAATTAAATGTCCAGACCGTTAATAGGTGCATGTCTTCCAGCATGTACCTGGTTAAAACTTGGAAAATCCGAATTGTTTGCTTATTTGGCTGCCCAAAACAACCTAGACTCGTATCACCGGAGGAGTGTTCATGCATGATTTAGGTATGCCAAGAGTATAGTTCATGATGAAGCCACCAATCCCTCGCTGCCATGCGAGGTGATATTACATGCTCTTTTTTTTTTATTGGTCCGATCAATACTTTATTGGCTTTAGACAGGGCCTTGCTTTTTCAAATGACGTGGGTGGGTGTCAGACGTCTCTTTCTTGAACGGGTAAGGCGGTTAGGCTGGCCCCGGAAATATAACTCCTATACCCATGGGGTGATATGACTTGCTGCATGGCGAAAGGGTGTAGCGACGGGAGGGAGCTCGGGTGATGGATCGGTGAGTTATGCATTAGTGCCTGACTCGGCGCTAGAGACCATGTCGATAGTCCCTACTTTGTTTCTTTGTCTGCTGTCTGCTCGGCTAGAGCTTTGCCACCCTTGGTGGCTAAATTTAGAGCCGATAACTAACGTCAACTTGCTCGATTAGGAAAGACTTCGATTCTATGTGATACGCCAGAAGTACGACTTCCTGCTGCTTCGCAATGCAATATCACCGGGAATATAGGCAAGCATATATCCCCGTCCTAGATGGCACCCACTCCATTTTTGAACCGCTAGGTCATGTACGAGTACGGAGTAGCGAGCAAGACATAGCCCACTTATCACATGTGCTAAACAATTCACACACACTCAAGGATCTTTCTGTCCTTAAACTCCCCGATATCTCTATCATGGCCCAAGAAAGCCAACACCACATCAATTTTATTCCATTAAATATCTAAGCATTGTGCCAGCTTCGAACGACATTATTCTTGTGTCTGCAATTTGTGCCTGTGAGGGTGTTGCTTATACAGCGGTGGCACGCCTCTCTCTCACCGTTAGATAGAAGTCTCCAGCCTGCAGCGGGTGACACAATAGCATAAAACCGGCGAAATATTGCCCGGGTTGGTTTATTTTCCCTTCCAATTAGTGGGCACAGGCATTGGGCTCTGCAATATGGCTGATATATTTCGCAATTCGCTTGACCAAGCCCATCAGTGATATCATCAGGTCCTCCCCATCAAGAGCTTGCATATCTCCCATAGTAAATATCGATATAAGCTTGCGCAACTTTGAAATAAAGAGTGCGAGGCTGAAGGACAAGGGATAAACCTGGAGGGTGGAAAGGCAGACAGAGGAGAAGATAGACACGCTCTCAGAATTAGCTAATTACACATCTATTCTGAGCTAATGGCCTCGCATTCTCGGCACCCATTTCAGCAATACGGAAGAGCAACTGAATTTTCATCCCGAGATCCTGTTCTCAGCTCAGAAACAGCAAGGCTAATAAACAGCAGATAAACAACCAGGTCTAACCTCTGACCTAGAGCAAGCACCAACCGATCTCAGCAGCGTACACATGGAGATTCGGTTCCTTCCTTCTATAGCGATGAACACCTCATTGGAGAGCGATAGGCGTGTTTCCATTTTATCAACCTACAGCTTGATACTCAAAGTTCTCCTGCGTGAATTAAGGGACTTTTGAGTCCCGTTCGACTCAAAATTCTTTTCAAGCCTGTCCCATAGTTGTTCACCTTCTTGTGTTGTAATATCCGCAATTACAAGGAGTTCTGGGCGATCAAGCACAGATCGAGTTTGCAGATCTTGAATGGTGGCTTCGATAGTGGAGTAGAGGTGACTGGACCGTGAAGCATTGGGCGTTGCAGTGAAAGTCGTTGCGGAAATTGTGATGGGGATTTCTGGGTTCATTTCGTGTTGCGATATTTTCACAGTAAGTTATTAGGGAGGAAATGTGGATGATGTCCATTAGGTGAGGATGGTTGCTTGTTAGAAGAATATTTGCTAGGCATCCACCCTTTATGAATAGCTCACAGACCACCTTGTATATCCGGATGAACTTTGGAAAGGATTGGAATCTCATAAAGGCCAATAGAAGGACAGCGGTTAGTTCATACCAGTTTTCCTGTAGAGAACCATTGGATGTTTAACTCTATTTCTTATTTGTAGAGGATATTGCGAAGTCTAATACTACCTATATTACAACTGGACCCGTAAAGATGAGATATTTAATAGTACGAAGGAAGACCATTAATAAGAAATGGTATCAAACAACCCGACAAGTGTCTTACTACCTGATAGGAATACCTCTGAACATTTGACTGCGGCACAAGAAAATCAATCATACTGCAGCACAGTAGTGAGAGCACTAGACATTATATTAATGAAGCTTGAGGCCCCTACTGTGGCACCGAGCAAAACATCGCTCTCATCATGAGCTGCTAGGTCACGCAGCCAACCATCCACACTAGCAACGGATGTGTTGATATAGAAACACCGTTGATCTTAAGTCTCACACTTGTGCGAACCTAGAAAAACCATGTCGCCGGCGATTGGGATCGAACCCCGCAGAAGTGTAGCAGGGAGATGAGATCCTAGGTATCTGATACCCTAGGCCACTGACCTGAACTATCAGGCACCAACACCATACCGTTTTCACTGCTTGGCAGCTACCTCAACAGTTACCATCTACTCGAAGAGCTCGATATAGAAACTGTCAAGCCAAGCTTGTTGCCTACGGTATATGAAGTATCGGTGTGCACGTCCCCTGCCCTGTCATCAGGCATGAATTATGCTTCCCTACCTGATTGGGGCGGCCCCAACCCTGGAGCCTGATGCAGGAATGAAGACTTTTGAAACGGCCCCCACAAGGCTCGACCCTCTCCCCACGTCCCCGACATGAAAAACAATACAAAAAGCATACAGAGGGAATCGAGTTTGTAGTCGGTTTTCATCTCTTTGTTCAAAGGTACGCATAAAATAGAGGGTTGACCAGTGAATCTGTAGTTGGTCCCATCACTATTAATTATGTCAAAGGGGATGATCCGGTTCTGATCGGGTGCCCTACGCACGCCTCTTTATGGCTGAGCCAATGATATGACCTTGCTTTACTTTAGCTGCATGCCTAGGTTGTTAGCCTGGCAGGGTATGAGCTCATTTGCTTGGCTAAGTTTATGCGTGGGCCGGCCCCCTGATAGTTGGGGGAATGCGGCTTAAAGAAGACCCTTTCCCACTTGTTTTACTTTCTCCTTCTTGATTTCAGAACCTCTACTCTATCAGTTGCTTTGACAGTTAACTCTTTCACAAAAACGAAATACATAATGCGTATCACTGTGTTTCTCTCAACGGCACTAGCTGCCCTCGTCACTGCGGAAGAATCAACCAGAATCAACTATTTCGGCGGTGGAATGCAATGGGCTCATAAAGCCCACCTCCACCACTGGACCAGCACGGCTGCCAGTGTCGCTGGAATAAATGCTGTTGCCACTACCTACCGAATTGGATGCCTAAGCGATGCGCCCAAGTCTGATTGCGAAATTGCTACGCCCTGGACCATGATCCAGGGCCCCAAAACCTACAGTCTCACAGGTGTTTATACCGTGTCGGGATCAGGAACAGTCAACGCTGTGACTGGAACCCAAAACTTTGACTGCACTTTCGCCAAGGCCACCGAGTCTCCTTCCTGTTCGTTTAGCGCGAAGGCCACCGGCACCACTGCAGGTGTTTCGTATTCTACATCCACCTCCACCTCCACCAAGAACCTGCCAACGAAGTCCTACACATCCTACGGAATCCAAGTCACAGCGGGGACATCTTTATTTACTGCCACCCAGGCAACTCAAAGCCCCAATGGAGGAGCCGCCATGGTTACTGCTGCGCCAATGGGGGCAGCTGCTGTAGTGGCCATTGCTGCTATGCTCTAGCGCTTTGCTTGTTCGGCCTTTGCATCCATCATTTTTATTTTACCTGAAAATTGACTGAAGAGTGTTCTGATAAGATACCCCAAGCACACAGTCGGCTGCATTCTCATGTCATGTTTGCTTTCCGTTCTAGCCTTTTTGGGTAGATGTGATTCGATAGTCGCAAAGACAGTGCTTCTTGTTCTTATTTAGTGGAATGGTGCATGAATGGACATATTATTCACAACTACCCCTTTAGAGTGATGTACAGGCTAATACTATCGTATAAATAAATGATTGTGGCACTTTGATTGTTCCGAGTTTCCAACGGTGAACTTCGAACCTTACCTGAGAAGATGTGTCTTGCACAAAGTATGTTTTTTTTTTTAAAAACTGTCTTTCCGTACACATAAAAGCAGATGACAAGGCCGCATAAGCGGCCGAGTATTCTTGAAACCCGTGAATAGGCTGAGCTTCTCCATCACCCCGTGTTGATAGAGTATTCGGGCAATCAAGGCACCCAAATTATCCATAGCAAAGCTACAATTCACTAACTTTTGGTGATTCAATACGAACGAGAAGTATTAGAAAGAGTGTATTCGTATGAAGGGCGCTATAGGAGGTATAGAGGTATAGCTATAGTAAGTGTTGAGCCCTTTTTTTTTTTTTTTTTTTTTTTTTTTTTTCGAATGGGGATACATCTTAACAGCACCAATCTAAGTATCTGAAATACATACTTATATAGAGGTAAAAAGAGAACGGGGAATTATCTACCCATTGATTTTTAAAACTTCACCTATATCGGCCTTATCCATTACCCACAGTCCAAGCAGTGGTCTTGGCGTAGGTTCTTCTACAACATTAGACACTATAGGAACCATGAGGATACCCCGACAATCATATACACTAATCGGGGGAATTCGTACCGGAGAAGAAATCCTGAGCCGTTTAACAGGCGTCCATAAGCCCGGGGTAGACTGACATGTAAATTGTTAGCGGCGACGGCGCGCGACGGCGCGCGACGGCCAACCTTGTGGGCGCTCTTGGCTCTCGGAACAGATAACGCGGCCCACCCTCATTTGCAATTTCAATGACGGGCGTAGATAGACATCGGAAAAAAGGGGATGGTGAATAGTCATACAGGAGAACATGTGTAGGTATATAACTAGACTCTTTATCCATGATGGTGAGATTAATAAAACTAACTATACTTCACTCTATCTCGCCGGTTAGTGTACACCTGAATTCTGGGTTATCCTTACTTTGACTAACAGCATGTCAAGATTGTATAAAGCTTCTCAATGACTTCATATTCCACTGGAAGTGAGGACCAGCCTCTAACAGTTTCTCAATGGCGTGAACTACAAAAGACTGTTTCGGAGCCAACTCACATTTTGTCCCTGCTCGAACGAGCACAACCAAACACATCAAATGCATGGATCTCATTGGCAACGCCTGAACAAATCATTACACAATGGGAGGATATAACAGCACTTCGATCCCAGGGGGAACATCTTCCACTATTCGGCGTGCCGTTTGCCGCTAAGGATAATATCGACGCCGCTGGGTTCTGCACAACGGCCGCATGCCCGTCATTTGGCACCGAGCCTGTCACCACCGATTCAACAGTTGTGCAACGGTTGAAATCACAGGGAGCTATCCTCATTGGCAAGACCAACCTTGACCAGTTTGCCACCGGTCTTGTCGGTACGCGTTCACCGTATGGAGCCGTTGCCAATTCCTTCGATCCAAATCGAGTCAGCGGTGGTAGTAGCTCGGGAAGCAGCGTGGTAGTCGCTCAGGGACTGGTTCCTTTCTCCCTTGGTACAGATACAGCAGGGTCAGGTCGTATACCTGCAGGGTTCAATAATCTCGTTGGACTCAAGCCCACACGGGGCGCTTTGAGTGCACATGGTGTAGTACCAGCATGCCGCTCACTTGATTGTGTCTCTATCTTTGCCCTGACTCTGGAAGATGCCGAACTGGTCCTGCAACTAGCCGAGGGGTATGATGTTCAAGACGCATACTCGAGAGATCGTGCCAGCTGTGCGACTCACAAGTCTCCTCGAGGAGCCTTGCCCTCACAGCCCACATTGGCTATATGCTCCAACCCTGAGTGGTTTGGCCGGACCGAGCAGGCTGCAGCATACCAGGATGCATTGACCAAAACCCAACAGCTGGGGTGGAAGCTAGAGCCCGTTGACTTTACACCCCTCTTCTCTCTTGCCAGTCTCCTGTATGAAGGCCCATGGGTTGCCGAACGATATGCTGCTATCGAGAAGTTCATTCGCTCAGTTCCAGCCGAGGCCATGGACCCGGTTGTTCGGAGTATCATCTTGAAAGCCGAGAAATTCTCTGCTGCAGATTTCTTCGCGTGCGAGTACCATCGACGGGATCTATCCTCTGAGATTGAGACAATCTTCGGGAAATACGACGCGCTACTAGTGCCCACGGCTCCCACATTCCCTTCGATGCAAGATCTCAAGGATGAGCCGGTCGTGGCAAACAGTCAACTGGGCACATATACCAACTTCGTGAATTTTCTGGATTGGTCTGCTTTGGCAATTCCTGCTGGCTGGAGAGGAGACGGTCTTCCTTTCGGTATCACACTGATAGGAGGGGCATGGGAAGAGACACGGTTGTTGGAGCTCGCCCAGCGCTGGATGTCTGATGCCCCGCGCTTGTTAGGAGCGACGGGTGTGGAATATCAAGAGCTTTTCTCTGGCCAAAACTCTGGGCTTACTGTCACCCCCAATTTCATGCAGTTGGCGGTAGTTGGTGCCCATCTTTCTGGCTTCCCTCTGAACAAGGATTTGGTCTCACGGGGCGCAACCTTCCTCACTGCTACAACCACAGCCCCGTGTTACCAGTTATTTGCACTGCATACAACAGGACCAGTATCAAAACCTGGTCTAAAAAGGGTCATTGATAGTGGAGAATCAATCGAAGTGGAGGTTTGGAACATGCCACTCGACCAGATGGGCAGCTTCCTCGGTACTGTCGCACCGCCCTTAGGCATTGGATCGGTTGAGTTGCAAGACGGCCGGTGGGTTCACGGGTTTATCTGCGAGTCTGTTGGCCTCGAGAATGCAAAAGATGTCACCAATTTCGGCGGATGGCGAGGGTACACCCAGTCACTCAACACTTCCACCACCGAATCGTCACGCGCTGCATCTACCACACCTGCAACAAGCATCGGTGAGAAGCGTATTAGGACGGTTCTGGTTGCTAACCGCGGAGAAATCGCACTGCGCATCATTCGGACCTTGCGTGAGATGAAGATCTCGTCCGTGGCTATCTATTCAAGTGCAGATGCTCGCTCACCACACGTTACCGCTGCAGATGTTGCGCTTCCGCTGGCGGGAAACACAGTATCTGATACATATCTGAATGGCAAGCAGATCCTGGATATGGCTATCAAAGCCGATGCCGATGCTGTCATTCCTGGATATGGATTTCTTTCAGAGAATGCCGACTTTGCCGCCGCCGTGGAGGCTGCAGGTCTAGTATGGATTGGTCCAACTCCGAAACAAATGCGTGATTTGGGCCTCAAGCATCATGCTCGTGACATCGCAATTACCGCCGGCATTCCTGTTGTTCCCGGAAGCGATGGTTTAGTCACCAGTGTCGAAGATGCACTGGCAGAAGCAGAGAAAATAGGCTATCCAGTGATGGTGAAAAGCACCGCTGGTGGGGGTGGAATTGGCCTTCAGCGGTGTGCTGATATTGATTCACTCCGAGAGGCGTTTGATGGTGTTCGTCGACTGGGACAGGCAAACTTTGGCGATGACGGGGTTTTCATCGAGCATTTCATCGACCGAGCTAGACATATTGAGGTCCAGGTGCTCGGTGATGGCACTGGCAGAGTCATCTGTGCTGGTGAGCGTGACTGTTCGCTGCAGCGTCGAAACCAGAAAGTCGTCGAAGAATCCCCTGCTGGATTTGTCCGAGTCGAGGTTCGAGCTGACATGCGCCGCGCTGCTGCTGCTTTGGTTGCTTCCTTGCAATATCGCAACGTAGGTACCGTTGAATTCATCTTCGACATCGATAGCGAGAAATTCTACTTTTTGGAGATGAATACACGTCTCCAGGTCGAGCACCCAGTGACCGAGGCTGTAACAGGCCTTGATCTTGTCGAATGTATGATGCGCATTGCTATGGATGATTGCACCACTCTTTTCCCCCAGCAGATAAATGAGATTCCAGTCTCGGGTGCAGCAATAGAAGTTCGTGTTTATGCCGAAAGCCCCCTTCAAGAATTTCGACCTTCTCCTGGGAAGCTTTTGAATGTCGACTTTCCATCTGGTGTCCGCGTTGACACTTGGGTCAGTTCAGGCCAGGAGCTGTCGTCATCTTTTGATCCAATGGTCGCAAAGATCATCGCACACGGTGATGACCGTGCTGAAGTTCTTCGAAAGCTCTCAGATGCACTGGGAAAGACAGTAATTACTGGCGTGGAAACGAATCTGAGATATTTACAGCAAATTGTTGCCTGGGATATGTTCAACTCCGGAGAATTCACGACAGGATCGCTCAATACTTTCCCATACGAAGCCCAAGTTATCGAGGTCATTGATGCTGGGTCCGACACGGCTGTACAGGACTTCCCTGGCCGTCAAGGCCTTTGGCATATCGGTGTGCCGCCCTCCGGCCCAATGGATTCCTACTCCTTTCGTCTCGCCAACAAAATAGTCGGCAATGATGACCATGCTGCGGGACTCGAGTGCTCGATCCAAGGCCCGACGCTGCTCTTTCATTCCCCAACCATTGTTGCTGTCGTTGGTGCTGATTCCCCTATATCTGTTGATGGGAAAGAACAGGAGCCCTGCATGGCCATCAGCATTCGAGCTGGACAGAAACTCTCGATTGGCACAGCCACCAATGGCTCCCGAGTTTATCTTGCCGTCCAAGGTGGTATTCAGGTCCCTGAAGTCTTGAGCAGCCGCTCAACATTTGCGACCGGTCACCTTGGAGGGCACAATGGACGCAGCCTCCGCATTGGTGATCTTCTCCCATTAGCAACTGTTATAGAAGAGGAACTTACATTGCTCAAATCGCCAATTCTTTCCCTGCCGATACCTGAGAACCGAGAATGGGTCGTTGGCGCTATCCCTGGACCACACGGTAGTCCGACTTATTTCACACAAGATGGGCTTCAGGAGCTTTTCAATGGCGAATGGACTGTCCACTACAACAGCAATCGACTCGGAGTCCGTCTCACCGGGCCCCGTCCAGAGTGGGCACGGCAAACCGGTGGTGATGCTGGCCTGCATCCCTCCAACATTCATGACAGTCCTTATTCAATCGGGAATGTGAGCTTCACAGGTGACGAGGCAATTGTTCTGACAGCAGATGGACCAAGCCTGGGAGGATTTGTCGCGTTTGCCACAGTCGCAGAAGCCGAGATGTGGAAGATTGGTCAGATGCGGCCAGGCGATCGCCTTCGGTTGCATCCTATTTCTCTTGATGACGCGCGGGCACTTGCGAAGGCCCTCGAGCATTCGATCGCCACTCTCAGCCCGCTGACCAGTGGTGACTTGAGACAGGCAAGTTCTCCTGCTGCCTCTAGTCCGATCGTGAAGGAGATATCCGAAGCTGGCCGCTTCATCCGATGCTGTCAAGCAGGTGATCGAGCCTTGTTGCTCGATTTCGGCAATGAAGATAACTTCACGCTACGGCAAACATTTCACATCATGAACTTCATTGAGATGCACCGAATTTATCCAATTCCAGGCGTCGAGGAGCTCACATCAGGCGTCCGAAGCCTCCATATTCGCATGGAAGCAAACTTCCCACTAGTTCAAGTCCTTGATGCGCTGGTTGCGCATGAGATTTCTCTTGGAACAGAGCTTCCTGCCCGACTACCCTCGCGTATCGTGCATATGCCTCTTGTTTTCAACGATGAGAGGAGCCGCAAAGCCATTGCCCGCTATACTTCGACCATTCGTTCCACAGCACCGTACCTACCTAGCAACATTGAGTTCTTGCAGAAACTGAATGGACTTGACAGTCCCGATCGGGTAGAGAGCAATCTCTATGAAGGCACATTCCTAGTGTTAGGCCTTGGTGATGTGTACCAAGGGTCCCCCTGTGCTGTGCCACTAGATCCCCGCCATCGACTCTTCGGAACGAAGTATAACCCCTCCCGATCGTTCACACCTCGTGGCGCTGTCGGTATTGCTGGCCAATACCTATGCATCTATGCAACCGACTCGCCTGGCGGGTATCAGCTTGTTGGTCGTACAGTCCCTATTTGGGATGAGTTCCACAAGCCCGGACTGGGCGAGAAGGCCCCGTGGATGTTCTCACTCTTGGACCAGATTCGTTTCTACCCTGTCACCGAAGAACAACTTTCAGCAGCAGAGGCCGATGGAACCTCCAGTGATCTTATCAAAATCTCTGACGCCGAGCTAGACCTCAATGAATATGAGAAATGGCTGGCAGAGGAGGAGGAAGATATCACTGCTGTTCGGGAGCGACGATCGAAGGCAATGCATGAAGCAGACTTCTTCGACGATCTGCTCAAGCCATACGATCCGATCACAATGCGGCCAGGCCTGGGACGGGAAAGCGACGAACCTATGATCGGAGAGCGGGTGAAGGCACTTTTACCTGGGAGATGCTTCCGTTGCGCTATCGAGGAGGGGGATGAGGTCCAAGCAGGAGACCCTCTGGTGAGTACAATAGATGTCGACGTCAATAGCCAAGCATCGAGCTAATTATATTTAGATCTGGATAGAGTCCAACAAAATGGAGGTCAAGATTTGTGCACCAGTCAGTGGGAAATGTGTGAGGTTGCTGGTCGCAGAGGGAAACATCTTGGGGCCCAGTAACGATGTTGCTATTATTCAATAGGTGAGGCCATATGTACATACAAAAGGAGCAACGCCATGAAATATGTCCAGATAACGCGTTTCGTTATTTCGTTGATAAAAACCCCATTGGGGGAAGTGCTGTAGGCAACGTTTCTCATAGACCAGTGGATTGACAAGAGTACACGAGATCTATGAGTCTCTGAATGTGGCTGCTTTTACAGCAGCCAAATCGCCGACCTCTTCATGAAGCATGCGAAGTGCCTCGCGAGCAAATGGAGCAGCGGATGCTCGTACCTGCAGGACCCAGCGAAGCTTTTCAAGTTGTTCGACGTAACCCGCTGCTTCATCCACTTGAGGACTCGTTGCCCACAAAAGACCAGCAAAGGCACCAACTAAAGCCACTTGGGATGCTGCTGCAAAGCCCCAAAACGATTGGATATGTTCGGGTTGAAAAGATTCAATCAAGTTCATTGCCGACGTTAGCCGGGCGCGAGCAGCGGTTCGAATCGCCGAACGAAGAGATGGTGCGCTATCTGGAGTCAGAACACGCAGTAGCGCGCGATGGATGGTCAGCTCTGTTGCCATATGCGAGAGATGCAAAGCGCCGTTCGTCGAGAGCCGCAATGAGGGTGTGGATTCTAGTTGGAGGCTGGCGGGTAGTGCCGCATGCCATTCGCGCAACTCCATCGCTAGGGGCTTTGCCAGACTCATCGCACCTGACGGTCCAATCCGCTCAAGTAGTCCGCCTTTTTTGGTTGCGCCGATGGAGCAAAATGTGGACACGATGCGACTGAAGATCTTGGTCAATTCAATAGATTGCAGGAATGCCGCCCGACCCGCGGCTCCGTCCACACCTCCGTCCCCATTCTCCTCAGTCGCATCTTCTGGAAAGTCATTAAGTGTACACGGGCCAACATCCCAGTCACTCGTCCCTTCGTCTTCATCAATCTGAGCAGGAATGAGAGATGGTCGCCCATGCACAAGAACGCCCCACTTGTCCTGCATGTATAGCGCCCAAGCTAAACGTCGTCGTAGACCTTTCTCCCATTCTGGGATTTTCCAACCCGTACAGTCGATATGAATTCCCAAAGTCTGCCCGAGTGATAGTAGTTGAGCCGGAAGAGTGCTATGGGAAGACCTCATTCTTTGCAATAACAACAGACCGGCCTGTAATGTGGAGAGCTTGGGCCGTTTCAGATCGTCGGCCATGGCTCGCATTGCTAGGTCCTCTAGAGCTTCGGCATCTGGTGTCCGAGATGCAGTAGCGAGAGTTCGATCAAAGAGCTTCCAATCTAGCGCGACAAGGTAAACGGCAGCGAGTAATGGTGGTGAGAACTCGCGGTAGGACCGGGCATATTTCTCCAGAAACACGCCCTGGTCCAGGATTGGAAATGTACGGTGCATGATGCGAAAATATAAGTTTACCAAGGTTGGTCCCAGAGGACGTATGGATTCCTCGATGCGATCTAGGTCGGTGATGCGTTGCATCTCAGAAGCTGAATCCTTGTCAGGGTAGGTCATGAATGCAGTGGATTGATTCACACGCCGCGGATAACACCTTTCATGGCCAGAGAGCGACACAGCTGATGGCCGCAGATTAAGAAGTTCAGGTTCATGATAGCTGGCAGGGCCAATATACTCGGAATGCAGATGAAGCTCTAGACCTAATGTACCATCTAGTCGTGAATTGATTGGATCGACTATGGCCTGTTCTTCGACAGATCCAACAGTAGATGGTGTTAGAGAGCTGCGGTGTCTTTTTACCCTTTGCTTGCGGGTTAGCTAAAAGTGATCCCGGATATTGCATTTCTAAAACGTACTTGGTTTCTGTTGTGCTCGGCGACTTCCTCCTTTTCCGCGGTCGTGGACCATGAAGAAATGTGCATTCAAGACCATTCAAGTTACAAAAGGTGCAGTTATCTTTCTCGGGCTCCCGTATACATCGCGACTTGCGATGACGGCAGCGATCGCATGGTCGCGTCCGATGCTCCACTCCCGCCGGGGACATTTGATGCAAATTAACTATGTTCTTCCTTGAGTACAAATATCTTGGATATGATATTATCTACTCATCTAGTTGGGTCGAAATCGGTCGGGCGACAATATAGGTAGCTCATTGCGTGAGACGTTGACGAGATTCCAGGAATTACCCAGTGCATTGACTCGCGTCCCATTTGGAAGATGAGTTGCACGTGACTGCATATGGTTTTTGTTCGAGCACTACATTCACAATGATGTATTCACCCTGAAGTAGACATCAAGATTAAGCAGCAAAGAGATCGTGGCAATACCAGGATGAAGTGTAAAGAATTTGTCAAGACGAAGAAACAGATTGAAACAAATATTGATTTATGCATATTCAACTAAAACCGGAAGAAAGATCACAACCTATAAACCCGAACAAAAACTGGGATACCAAGAAAAAATGCAAAAGTAGAAAAAAAAACCAAGAGAAAACAGATAACCTCCCGCTAAAAAACATGAATCAGACAAAGAGCAAAACGATGGAAGGCCAGTCGACGACCTGGTCGAGTGTGTCTAGCCATGAGCTCGAAGCAAAAGAAATAACAACCGCAGAGCTTTTGCAGATGCAGGCAAGATGAGACAAAATATGTATAGATGAAGGACGAATAATGTCTTTTGCACATGATTGCAATGAGTACTGAGCCATCAAGGCACAATGCATCAAGATAACCACCCAGAATTGAAGTGATCACCAAGTTTCCTGGGGAAAAAAAAGGTTAGCATAGCCCACAAAACATCAAAACACATCAAGACTTACAGCAATATACTGTCCAGCCTCCTTCTTCCGCTGCCAGAACATATCGGCCTCTTGAGCATTGAGATTACCCTTGGCCATAGCAACCTCAATAAGAGCAGCCTCAACACCCTCACCCATACCCTTACCCGAACCACAAACAAAGACACGACCGTCAAGTGAGTTGATGACAAACCAGACTAGATCAGCCTGGTGCCTCACCTCTTCCTGCACATAGCGACTCTCGCCTTTACGGCTCTGCACAACTGTGCGCACCTTATCCTCATGCACGCCCCACTCTCCCGAGTAAAGCTCATCAAGCAGCGAGTCACGGACACCCTGCAAGACCCAGACTTTGTTAGCGCAGTTCGCCGACTGGAGACGGCGCTGCACAAAGCCGCGGAAAGGCGCGATGCCAACTCCCGCACCGATGAGCAGCATCGGGCCATCTGAGGCAAAGCGCGTCGCGAGCGGGTTCGCCATCAGACCTCGGAACATGGGTACGTGGAGATCGGGCTTCTCGCCGGAGGCTTCGCCGGCAATCGCTCGCTGCGCGAGGGACTCTAGGTACCCTGATCCTACGCCTGTGCGTGACCCACCGCGCCAGTCCTCGGATTCGGCGACTGTGACAGCGACTTCAATTAGGCGTCGGCATTCGCTACCTTTGTATTGGCAGGAGATCTGGGGATCTTGAGAGAGGGAGTAGAAGCGGGGCATGAGGGTGTTTAGGACAGAGAGGAGGTGGTCGAGGGGTGGTTGGGAGCTGGAGAAGGCGGTTAAGAGTTGGGTGAGGGAGACAAAGGAGCTTGTGCGTAGGTCGCAGAAAGCGCCTTGGCCTTGGGCCGAGGAGAGGTATTCGAGGATTTTCTTCTCGTTTGGCTCGCTTGTGTACTCGGCAAGGAGGCGGAAGAGTGGCTTAGTTGGGGCATAACTTTGGATGTCGGAGCACCAGCTTAGGACTTCGCGACGGGTAGTGATGAGTTCCCGGGGCTTGTCGTCACCCCAGATTGTTGGCCAGCGACCATTGGTTGTGCGCATGAGAATTTTCTTGTCGCGCATGGACTTTGGTACACCTAGGAGGTTGAGGACCTCTTCGACTTCAGAGTCCTTGTTCTTGGGGCACACGCCAATTGCGCCACCGACTACGAAATCAACCATCCCACTTTCGGCGGGGTAGTCGGTGACATCGATATCAAAATGGTAGGTACGCTTCTCGGCGCCGGGTCCTGTCAACTCACGGGCGTGGTATAGAGGCGCGCGGTAGACCTGGTAAGGTGGGTGCGGCTGCACGAATTCTGGAGGGTGATCTGCGGGTCCAAAGGTCATCTCGACCGCCGATGCGGGAATCGACTTGAACGAAACAGTCTTCTTTGGCAGCGGGGTGATGTTGGAAAGCTCACTGTCCATAGTGAGGAGATCGAGGTTTAGCTTGAGGCTATCAAAGGCCTTGTTGCCGACAGGTCCAACGATGGAATTGAAGCCTGAGATTGGCCCATCTACAGGGCGCAATGCCTGTCCCCGGCAACAACCCCCACCACAGCAGAGGGATTGAAGCTTCTGAGTACCTGCTGTGCCCACATTCTCCAATACCCTTCGCATATCGTCCGCGTTCTGTGAAATGAGGACAGTTGATGCTCGTCGACGTTGCCGACCACCGTCGACCTTTTCCTCTACATTTTCTTCCTCCGATTGAGCCTCGGTGGTTGGTGTCAGAGGGGTATCGGGAGAAGTTGAGCCGCTTGATATAGTGCCCTGGGAGGAACCTGAGGAGATGACGTGGAAACTGGTGTCGGTTACTGAGAGCGAACGCACACCTCGAGGCTCTTCCGGAATTGGGTTATCTGGGTGGGAGGTCGAGGACACCGGGATTTCTTGATAAGTGCCTCTGCGGGGTCGGGTCCCCGTTGAAGCATAAGTCGCCGACGGCATGATGGATTGAACGGCGTGAACTAATTCGATATAATTAGAATGTGAGTCTCGACGATTAGATTGGGGTTGAGTGTCATCCGCATACCCATGAGGAAATTTCGAGGAGAGTTGGGAGTCACCGAAAAGTTACGCAAGAATCGGCGCAACGGGGGAAGACCGGGGTATATGAGTCGAGACGTAATGGAGATTAAGAGACTTAGTGAAACCCCCCTTTTTTTCACTTTCTATGAATAGAGCATGAAAAGAGGAGAGTGGGATGAGGGAGGAGAGCGTGGACCCGAAGAATGGTCGGGACAATAGTTCCGTACAGAGGATCGGGAAAGTGAAAATGACGGTATGGGAATGAGAAATACAGGTCTCACAGCGTTGAAGATCGGAAACAGAACAGGGATTTATCAGATTTGCCACATTCTCCGTCACCGGGTATGTTACACGGTTGGTTCCGGCATTGATATTTTACATATAAGACACATCGAAGAAAAAGGAATATATTGAATATCTGAAATATTGACCAAAATTTATCTTGGCCGTCAGCATTAATAAGGACTCAACTACTGGATATGGCTTTGGCTCCATTTGGGGTCATCGTATCCATCCAGATCGACGGTGCATATGAAGATGAACTTGTACATTACGCGTATTCGGTGGCGTTGAGTACATACCCGAGGAGAGTCCCGGTCGGCAGTTGACCGGACTCGAAATGACCATAATATGGTGATATGTCAGACGACTGCAATTTAAAATATTATCATATCATCCTATAATCTATAACTTACGTTCACAGGGGGTTCTACAGGGATAATTTAAATTGCAATTGGAAAAAAAAAGGATGTTCCGAGGTGGGCCGACAGAAAATGTTGAATGGGAACACGTGTAATGTACGTAATATGACAATACCATACAGATTACCTCGGTTATCAGATCAATCAGATAGCAAGCGGCGGATTTGTCCGCCCCTTTAAGTAATCAATCCCATCTGATAACCAGCTTGTTACATACATCACTTTCACATTCATCTCCACATGTAAGCTGTTCTACCTAACGGGGCAATCCCGGAAAGGGGGTTTACGTTTATATTGCAATACAACTCCATACAACTCCCCTGACCCCAAGCCTTAAGCCCCATTCTTGCAAAATACAAAATGGATCTCTATAGAATCCCCCACTTTCCGGCCAACCGGACTTGGCCTTCTGTATCACGTTGGCCCATCACAGGTCTCCTAGCTTACATGCCCCTAACCCTCGGTAACTCAATTTCCCAACCATCCGGTCCAAAGTGGGGATTCCAGGCCAAGATCAATCAGTGGGTCATTACTGAAATGAGCTAGGATGTTCTAGAAAAATAGTAAAAAATACAGACTTTTCTAGCTTTCAGCCTAGAATAGTCACTGACGAGCTAGTCACTGATTCAATAATAGCCCATAGCCTGAAACCACTCCCTGCCGATATCGCGAGCTAACTCTACACGTAACTCATCTCCACGACTTTTAGTGTGTCACTACATCCCTATTCTATGTACCAGTGTCGCTGCATTGATCCACTATGTTCTTCGTTACTGACTGGTCGGGCAAGAAAGCTGGGACTTGCATACAACTTGGTAGTCCTGGGGGTCGTGAAGTGCTTGTATTGTGAAAGCCTGGAAGAGCTAATGCTAAGTTCCATCTGATAACTTAATTTTAATGCCGATGACTAGCAAAATGGCCGAGCCCTTGCGCTTAAGCCTCCAAGACATCTAAATCGAGTATTTATCATCACAAATAGGGGTGGGCGCCACGTCATTATTGCACAACGTAGGCCGGTCTGTGTGAACAGGACGAATGAAATAATGATACTCAAGGTTATAATAACAGCGGAATCCCAAGACCGTACCTATATACGGAGTATGTCACGTCATCACATCGTCAAATAAACAATCCCTCCAGCATCCAAACATAGACGGAAAAATAATAACATGAAAAAAAAAGAAGACAAACCCTCTAACCCAAACAAACGCAATCTTAACTATTTTCATCCCGATGAACCAAAGTCACAGGCGGAATAAAGTGATGTCTCCCCCGAACCAAATAATAAATCGTCGCAGATCCAACGATGCCAACATACATCGCCACGCTCCAGTTCATCGTCTCAACCGTAACTTCCGTCGTTAGGGGAAAGAATGCAAAAATATAAAGTGGACAGAGGAACGCCAACGCCCCAAAATTCACCGCCATGCCAAATTTCCCGAGTGACCACCGATGGTGTGGGAGCGGCTCGCCCCGAACCCGTTTTAGGAATACGCATCCGATTGAGATGATATACGCAGACAACAGGGATGTGATGGTGAGTGAAATGACAGCGTTCAGAGCGACCTCCGACCCGATGTTGATCATTGATAGTAGGATTGTAACGACTAGAGACACCATTACGGAGTTCAGGGGGATGTTCCAGCCTGGTGTGACCTGGCAGTTACATGTTAATATAGCTAAGGTCTAAATAGGGGTCAGAACAGGAAGAAGACATGGCTTACATATGCGAAAAAGGACGAAAAGGGTAGCCCCTCGTCCCGGGCAAACGACCAGAGCTGACGCGATGCCGTCGCGACTTCGGTAATTGTGCTGGCAGTCAGCGTCACCACTAGCACGGCTGTCATGGCGTTTGTCGCGGCGAGGCTGCCCGTGGTATTGTAGAAGATCTGGATAAACGGGAACCTTGTCGGGGTATCTAGGATTGCGTCGACCTCGCCCAGTGTGAAGCACAGTGTGACCAGCATGGTGAATCCCAACACCCCATTGACGGCGACAGAGGTCATCATTGCCTTTGGGAGTGTCTCTGATGCGTCTTTGATTTCCTCAGCTTGTTGAATGTCAGCACGATATACCAAGTCTGAGGTCGTTCATAAAGTTCATTCTTACACATATGAACCGAGCAATCATAGCCAAGCATGGATGTTATAGTAGTAGATAAGCCGACCAATGTGGCTGTCCCAGGATTATCCCAGCCGCCCCCATTATTGAACGTGGTGAAGACTGCGTGGGCATTGTTGCGTGGTGCAAGTACCCACAACGGGATAATGATGGCGAACACGCCAACAATATGAATGATCAAGATCAGCCCTTCCACAAAGGGAAGATTCTTGGCTAGGAAGGTGTTGAACAAGATTGAGAATGTCGAGATGGCAATTACTAGCATGGTTCCATGCCATCGTTGGAAGTTATAGTCTGGCTGGTTCAAGACGATCAGGCCTTGAATGATTGTGCCGGCGAGGTAGGCGATAGATACAATGGCGCATTGCCACCCCATTGCAGAAAGCCATCCTGAGATGATATGTTAGCTAATGAGAGTTACACAGGGACTAGCTATGTTACCTGTGATATAGCTGAGATACTTCTGTCCTCTCTTTGGTGCGAACTCCGACACCCAATGATACTGCCCACCGGCAGTGGGGGGCCCTATTTGCCGATTGATTAGCGGTGCTCTGATCGGGAGCAGCAAACTGTCAGTCACATACATCGAGGCCATCTCAGCAATGCTGGCATAGACAAGGGTAAACCCGATCGAGACACCGATGAACCCCCATATCAAGCCCGCTGTGCCACCGTCGGTCAAGCCAGCCGCCAGCAATCTATTAATGGAATCAGTGGTCTGCATAATGACCATATGCAGGGACTAGCACGCACGTCAAAATAACCTCCCATGTGCAGATCAAAGTGCATCCAAATCCAACAATAGAGATAAACCGGAAGTTTCTCTTCCTGACATTAGCGAGGCAAACGCGACCGGAATAATAAGAGCAGAGGAACTTACTCGTAAAACCTGTACTCGACCAAGAGCATTCATATCACGCCGATCTGCCAGCGTGCCCATATAACGAGGCTCAACAAGGCCTTTCTGCGCATACTCCTCGTCGTCAAGGCCAGTCATCGTCTGCTGCGAATCAGGTCTGGACCTGTTTAACACCGTCATAATCGCGTGCGTGACTGAACCACCCAAATAAATATATATCGAAGATAGGACAATAAAATTCCCCGCAAGAAAGTAGGGAATTGCGAGAATAAAAACAAAAGCCTATGTCTCCTGGCAACTCAACGCCCCGAAGGATCTAGGATGCGAAGTATAAAAGCGCCTAGCGAACAAAGCACCCTCTAATGAAACTAACAAAAGAATGGCCGTAGCCAGAAGAAGCAAGTATCAGGAGAAAACCCAAAGGACTGGAATCATGACGACCACTGAATTGCCGGGATTGAGGCGTGGTATTGACGTGGGAGCAAGGCATGGCTTGGGAAAAATTCACACGCGCCATGTGGGAGAGAACACCTCCTCGGAACACCCAGGCAGCGATCCGAGTGCTGAATGATACATCTTTCTTTGCTCGAGGGTGCTGCATCTAATCCAATTGGGAATGGGACTGTTGACACTGATTTTTGGGGTTTGCTATCCCTTGTCTCTTGCCCGGAATGGGCTATTGCGACCTTGCATGACAGGGGCGTGTTGTCCATTTAACTCCGTTTAGCGTCTGTTTGACCTAGGAGATATTGAAGTCTGGACTGACTATCGGGGTTGTAATGATACTTTAAATCCTTCTATTGTATCGCAGTTGTATATTGATGGTGGGTTGTTTCTCTATTCCAACTACGCATCGAAATGATAGACAACACAAAGTATGAAAGATCAACAAGCCTAGCCCCTTGAACAAACACGGCACCACTACCCGATACATTTTTGATGCATCACTCGCGCTAATCCTCTCTCTAACTCTATTAATCCCTGTCGCCCATCCACTCGATGCTTATCCCCCAGACAATTCCGCCACACTCCATGCCTATGAACCAAATAGCGGGTGGATGCATAAACCCCTCGCTTTATTTACCAAAGAGCAAACTATACAGCCTATCGGATGGCAACCTCCCACAGTCTAATTCTGAAGGGGCGCACGCTGATCGACGACCCTACAGCGGGCCGCCGTGCCCTAACGAAGTGTGCTCACAGTACGGAGTTAGCCGTACTACCTCGAAGTTCGACGTGAGGGAGAGAAGGCAAACCACCATTCCAACCAGATGGCCTAAACTTACACCGAAAAACAATAATTGCCACCATTTATACCCTCCAATGGAAGAAAGGGATAAACCCGCCATTCACATTCGAACTTCCCCCCTTCAGCATCCGCCATATCGAGCAAATCCCTCCAGCCAGACTTATGTACATGCCTGAACTCGATAGTCCATGTTTCTGTCGGGTATCGGCATATGACCTCCCAAGCCAGAAACAATCATAATCCCAAGCGCACCGTAGGAGAAACGGAAACCACGTAGCTCAACCGTTATCGCCGGGCCTTGACGCCTGTACATCTCCTGTTTCGGCCTTCATACAAGCGTCGTGGTCTCAAATCAACCCCCTTCCTCCATATTCATTTCCGTCCCGTCACCTATTCCACATGGCTCCCGGATCTGACAGCCTTTCACAGCCGCTCCTGTGTCTGTGTTGATCAGCGCAACTCATATATACATTCCACATAACACCACAGTATACGGAGTAGTTATCCATCCCTCCACATGACAACCACGAGAAGAGCACTTGCCTAGACTCCGTTATTTGAGGTGGCTTCTGCTCCTTCCCCCTTGCCATGGGCCCGTATGTGCCACCAGGCCAGTCGCCACCCTTCGAGGTCGTCGATGACTTGCACCATGGCGCATGGCTAATTATCACTGCTGCGCTGGGCCTGGTCGTCTCCTTGGTGTGCTTTTTGATTCGGCTATATGTGCGGCTCATGTTGATTCCGCCGTTTGCACGCGATGATTGGGTTTTGTTAGGTGCCACAGTGAGTTAGGGCTTGAAGAATCGAATTGAGTCGGGCCAGGTTTGAGTTGGATGGGCTATTTGAGTACACTGCTGACAAGTACTTTAATTTCTGTACAGGCTATCGCTGTGGTGCAATCAAGTCTCATCTTTTATGCGTGCTCGCGCGGATTCGGGACTTCTATATCGTTATTGAAGGATGGTCGGCTTGATCAAATTCAAGCTGTAAGTTGTCATTTCATATTCTATTGCTTTATTTCGTGAATCAAAACTAAGCAGCTACCTAAGTTAATTGCAACAAGCGATATCATCGCGCTGATGATCATCTACCTCTCCAAATGCTGCGTCGTGGCTATCTACCTTCGCCTCACGCCGCAGAAACCACATAATCGCGCATCCTGGGCGACACTAGCTCTGTGCACTGCCTGGGTAATCCCGGCTATATTAATTGTTCTAGTCAACTGTGAGCTAAACACACCTTGGCGGAGTGACGGTGGCCAATGCAACGACTTGGTATGTAAAATCACCAGTGATATACCCCTCACCAACTTCCGAAAGCTGTCTCTAATGTCGCAAGAATAGTACATGCGATGGCAATTCATCGCTGCAGTCGACGTTATAACCGAAATACTCCTTTTCCTACTAGCTGTGATCCTCCTAAAAGGCCTCTTCATGTCCGTTCGCCGCAAGCTAGCCGTCGGCTTCGCGTTTATATTCCGCTTTCCGTGAGTGCTCCGCATCCCCAATCCCCAATTCCAAATTCAAGACTAACCGCCTAACCCCAGCCTTATAATTCTCTCCATAATCCATATCTCAACCCTCCGCACCGCCCTAAACAGCAAAGACACTACCCTCGCCGCTGTCGAACCAACAATCTGGATGCAAGTCGAGCTCCACTACGCCCTAGTCGCATGCAGTGTATTCTGTCTCCGACCGTTTATGGCAGCCGTCAGCACAAACTACGGTACGGCGGGCGACTCGACACTGGAAAGTAGTGCGTCGAGATCAAACGGCACGAAAGAAAGCTCAAAGACCGGGTCTGGCTCAGGCTCAAATTCGAATACCGCTTCGAGATCTATATCGAATTCTCGCTCACGGAGGAAAAGAGCCGGTACGGGGTCACGGTCGCTGATAATTCCTCCGGTTGTTAGTGGTTCTACCTCTGGACAGCCAGATAATCATGGCCTGGGTCGGGATGCACCGTTGTGTCTTGATGCCAGTCCCCGTGCACACGGAGCGCTTGGAAATAATCAAAGGAATGGGGATAGTGGAAGATCGGATACGGTGCGTGCACCAATGCGCCGGTCGATGTTCCCGCTCAGCGCACCGCGCAAGAAGCTGAGCTTTCAGGTACCGGAAAAAGGGAAGAATGGTGTGAGAACTGGGTCTGGGGGGCCGTTTACAGTGGAGTCGGATTTGATTGAGCTTATGCCAAGGCCACATACTCGGCATGAGAGTGGTGCGACTGATGGAGGGGATGATGAGGGAGCGGATAAGATGGTTATTCATAAGGAGATTCGGTACTCGATTCAATACGAGGATGAGGCGGAGCTGAGGAGGCGGGAGGATTTGAAGAGTAATTCTGTTGATGTTTCTGCTTATGTATAATTTTATCTTATATTATCTTTTTATAGTATGTGTGGACGAGGGATATTATGGATAAATAAATCGAGGGTTGGGATATCCTTTCGCTCTGGTAGCTGAGGAAGTAGATGCTGCATATGATATTGAAGGCCTGAATGCCCGTAACGCCGGTCTTGTGAAATCAAGTCAAGACATTGCTGATGATAAAAGCTGTGCACAAAATCTAAATATTAGAACACTTCAATTTGGTCGCTTGAAAGGATGGGCTTCAGTGCTCCTGAAAAGAAAATCATTAGCTCATAAAGACAAGATAGACATAGCTGGGAACAAACATACAGCACGTAATCGTCCAGACTGATATGATCTGGCTCAGAAAAGATGAGATAGAGGTACTTCAAAGTCTCGGCAAGCCAAAAGCTCTCCATTTTGTCCTCGTGTTTTGGTTTCGAATGACGCACATCGTTGATAGACGAATGGCCAAACTTAGTCCGGGTAGCCTTATCAATGTTCTTAAACATGCGCCACGCGGAGTCCTGAAGAGTCTTATCTCCAGTAATCCGGTACATGACGAATAGGGACTCGAGAGCTTCAGGTCTGGGCCGGTGGTAGTATGTTAGTGAGCTGCACCAGGAGGAATAGGATAAAACTAGTACCTGAGCTTGTACGATGCGTCTTGAACATTAGTCACGCCCGGAGGTAGACGCTGGGCCTCAATATTGTCCTCCGCTTTCTCGCGGTCCTCCTCGGTATCAATAGATTGTGATATGACATCTGACATCCACTGCTCTTCATCCCACGGACATTCATCAATGTGCTTGCAGGGACTGACCTGGAACACCTCCGGCATAATCCCTGTAGGCATGACATCATATGCCCAGACACAACCGTCGGTAAGTCCCCGGGCAACATACATATCCTCTGGCCGATTGAAAATTTTGGCACCAATAGCCACGGTGCCACCCATGAAGCACTTGAGGTGGTCAGGCGCGTAATGGAAGGTCTTCGCACCACTTCGCATTGCAACAACGTTGGCCGTGAAGAGAATGTGTTGGTCCTCATCCTGGGTCATTCCTCTGAACAGCAGATTCTCGTTGAATGTTTCAATGGCCTTTTCGTACATCCTGTGATATTTGTCCGTCTGTGCACCCAGGAGAATGTGTTCTTTGGGTAAGTACTCGTAGGCGGAATCGGCACATCCGCCGATGGTAAATTCGGAATCGTCGAATGTCATTCGGTCAGTGTCAATCCATGTCGGCCACATGCCAGGCATCCGTGTCTTGTCTTGTCCGATTTCGAGCTCGTTCATAATTCGCTGCACGGCGTCGTAATATTTAGGATCACCGGTCAATTGGGTTAAACGAGTGAACTCCATTGTCAAGGATCCCATTTCTGCTAAGCTTGTGCGTGAGGATGGTGTTATTTCTTTTCCTTGGGCAGACCTAGGAATTATCAGTCTCAAATCCTCGTTGCATATTTGTGTATATTTTTAGCATACCTAGTCCACTCCCAGCGTACTTGAGGCATGCGATTATGCGTGTCGAACGCATTGAATATCATCTCGCCCAGTTCGACGGCCTTTCTCAGCAGGATAGGATGTTTGCCCTCGGTCAGGTCATGAGCAGCAATGAATCCACCCATATAGCGAATGATAATTTCAAAGACAGGCACCTGTCTGCTCTTGGTTGTTGTAAAGTCGATTTCCTCTAGAGCCTCTAGAGCTAGCTGCAGTTCGTCGTCCAGTCCCATAATCACAAGCGCATCTAGCGAATCAACGAGCGTAGCACCCCAGCCATTGAAGGTGTCCTGGTACCCTCCAGTGCGGGGTTTCACCTCATCTCGCATCCAAGCATAGTCCTTATATCCATTCCATGAATGAAGAAACGCCTCCTTCACAGCATCCCGTTTCTTGAGTCTGGCCTTGCGCTCTCTGCGGGTTTCTTCGGGGAAGGTATGCTGGATGCGGGGGATTTTTGCTGAACTTGTTGGCAATGGGATATATTCTGTAACGGGAAATCGCTCGGTGATTTGATCTAGACGAATAGCATCATGTCGAATGGTCCCGGCTTTTCTGGAAATTGGCTTTGCTAGGCGACCTCGGTATGTTTTTGTACTAGGGAGCCAGAAGAAGAAAACATATGTCGCGACAATCAGAAATAATGCGATTGAGAAAGGTCGATTTTTGCGCCTGTTATACATAACGAATGAATAGAGTGGGGTTGTTGCAAGAAAACAAAAGAAATAACAAAAGAGCGGTCATAGGAAGCCCAGAGAAGGAGTGGAATGGTGTACAAAGTCAAGTGTAGGGACCAGTAACAAAAGCCGACATTGATGTCTCAGAGAGAATAAGATCCCTGGGAGCTGCAACAAAGGAGGAAATGGACACATTTTTACACAATGTGGCACGTCATTGATTGTGAGAGGTCTCTGTGAAAGTGAATCAGACGCGGCCGAGTTGTTTGGGGCTCCATTGATCGTCCCTGGTGGCTTTCGGAATTTAGTGCGAGGCATGATACTGTGATATCGCAGGGGGATGATGATTGGTGCAAATTTGAGAATGTGAACCCCTTCACACCTGGCCACGCAAGAAGGCAAGACTGCAGGGTCCAAGCTGTGTTATTATTAGAGTATTAATGGTCAAGTCTAGACTTGCGATAAAAGTGCCAAGAGGGTCTTCTTCTGTCTCTCCAGGCTGTGCTCAGCCTGAGGGCGCCACCAACCCCACTGCGGCCCCTGAGTCTCTGATGGAGTAAGGGTTGATCTTGTCGATTTTAGACTGGAAGATCACACAATAGGACATGAAAATATGAAACTCTGTGCTTTAATATGCATACGTACCATGATAACATGACTACAATATGTAGTCAAAGGTATCTGGGGAGTATCGGGAAGCCATACCTACATACTCCGAAGGTCACTCTACCTTGTTTCCTGTGGATTAAATTCAGCCCTGCCCAGGCCCATGGGTGGAGTCTGTGAATCACGTGATCCATTCAGGGTTCAAAGCTACGTGTTTATTACTACACAGGTTGACTTCTAAGTTTGAAGATCTGACTATCTTCTAAACACATCCAACACAACCCAAGATTCGGCAGGTTAGCCGATACATCAACTCGGTAATGGATAGACCACAGGATATGGAAGGGGCACGAACCTCAATTCCCACCCAGGTTTGTTCACAATCATCTTGCCCGCCATTTCTGGGAGAGTCGCACGATCTTATCGTGCCCCCGGGCGCAAGAATACTTCACCCGCGCTCCCTAGAGGATATCGGCAACATGATTAAAGAGTTGAAAGCTGAGTTCGATCGGCACACCCTCGACGCGCATACCCCTAGACCATCGCAATATATCTGGATTCCCAAAATTCCGCAACATCTCTTGACCCAGATCGAAACAGACCTTGAACTCTTCTCAGGTGTTCGTGTAATAGTGGCGCACACCGAGTCCTCTATATTGTTAAAAGTTATGCCGGGACGGCAATACGAACGTATAATCTGCAATTTTCGCACTATCGGTCTTAGTTATCTAAATTCTACAGGCTTGTCCTTACAAAACGGAGATTTTACCAATCAAGGCGCGGAACGAAGCCCTTGGAGTTATATCTAGCCAGGAGCCAGATTGGGCATTCGGTCCGTATGACGCCCGTGTCGATTCGGCCGCCGACGAGTATCCCTCCCTCGTTCTTGAGATTGGGGCTTCTGAAAGTTTGGACCAACTCCGCTAGGATGCCCGTTGGTGGTATGCCAATACAAACCAAGAAACTAAACTTGTCGTATTGATCGACGTCACAACCGAAAATCCGTACCGCGTCGATTTTGAGGTTTGGACTGAGGTTGTCAACCAGTCCACTATCCATTCAACGCGAAGTCGTCCGACAAGAGTCCTTCAATGTACCCAGAGAGCGTCGTTACAGAACGGGGTGGTGACAGGTGCCCCTTTGATCCTCGATTTCATCACTCTCATGTACCGAGCGCCACGGGTCGGTGAGCACGACATTTCTTTAGGAGCGGCAGATTTAAGGCTTATCGGTGACCACCCAGTAAACTCAACCAAGGACTTTTCTCCGGCCAGAGCTCTAGGCCAGCGTTGAAATCAGAAATTTGTCGAAGAATACTCTGCTGGATTTGTCCAAGTCAAAGCTTGAGCTGACTCAAATTCCCCAATAAAACGTTTAATAGGAATATCAGCGATATCATTGGATGCTGCAGTCGCTGCTATTGAAGCTGTTCTAGGGGTTTCAAATAGCGGTGAATACGTTTTGGAAAACTGATAGGGTAAAGGAGCTGATCGAAAGGAAGGCCACTATAGACAAAAAAACAAGGAAGAATTAGTGGCTTTCTTGTCTCAACAAGCTAAAGAAATGCAGCAGCGGGCTATGCAATAGGGTACCTCTTAAGGGGCCGCTCTCCTATGGGCAGACTGAACCCGGAGGCCCCCGTCATACTATAATGATATTGAGTAAGATAGAGTAGGAAGGCTAAAGACAGCTGCACTTGCTATCTCCGAACCTAATATCAAAGTTGCTAAGAAATTAGAGAGCGAGGTGGGGTAGGCTATAGAAAAGGAAGGCGAGGATAAAGATGAAGACGGAAATGAAGACGGCATGGACCTTTCAACAAGTCTTCGAGAATCGACCGAAAAGCAAAAAATTGACAATCGATTTCATACATTCTACCTCGTGGTGTGCGATTTCGGTGTCTGCCGTGATTAACTCTACAATTCCTTTAATGGTCGAGAACTATACTTCTTATATTAAATCAATTAATATAATGCAAGAGGACTTTATCGCAGAGAGAGTGTAATCTACTATATCATCATAGATAAATATCCCATTGTCGACTCTGAAGTTAAGACGTTGATATTGGATGTTTGTTCTGTTTGCACTTCAATGTTAATATCATCCCCAGGCTTTCATGTGGAGGCCGACCACTTGATTCTCCAGAACAACCTCGTATACATAGAAATTCTCCAAAGGTACCAGATTCTTCTCATCTTCAGTGCTTATGCTAATCAAACCATACAGATTGCAAAGCTCCCATCCTGTTGAGGAATCCTCTTTTGTCACTCTCTGGCACTGGACTTGATCATCACTCTTATTGATCGATCTCTATATCTATGTTGCATGGTCACTACATGCTACATCTTCCTTGAATCAATACTCCAGCAGGACTGAAGATCACCTGGGGACTCATCGCCTCCATCTTCTCAACTCATCAATCCCCCAATTGATGTCCCTCAGCTCAACCATCTGTTCCATTTCTCCCTCTACGCCTATCCAGAATATAAGAAAACAAACATAAAAAATGCCTATCACAGGGTAAATCACCTCTTCCACTCCAACAAAATCCCTCACACTAACCCAACAAAGCGTTTACTTCATCCCCTCAAACCCAAACGCCGCAACAGCCCTCCAAGTAATAACAGAGCGCCTCCGCGCCGCCTTCCCAAATGAAGAACTAACCCCAATCGGCCGCTGGGGCCTGGAACAAAAGCTCCTCCGCGACACTCCAGGCTTACTACCCTCCTCAAACTCAAACAAAAAGCCCCCAAATCCACGCTACATGCAATTCCTCTCATTAACCCACTACCCAACCCACGGCTTCATCTACACCTCGGAGCCAGAGAAGCTCGCTCCAGCGCCAAACCAAAATCACAACCAAGGTGCCCCTGGTCCCGTAAATGCCATCGCACCAGATCACTCCCCCTCCCCGTCAATGGTCATGACTACTATCCCACCTTCCTCATACGGAACCCTCTTCCAGCATTTCACCTACGCTTGCCAACCCATCTGGAGCCACCGGCTCACGCTCGCTGTCCCGAACGGGATCGTCTATGAAGTTGGTGACTTCCGTGTGCGTCTTGGTGACGTGCGGCAGACGTTCCCGACGGCGCGGGTGCGTGGTACGGTTGTTGAGATTGAGTGGCGTGGTCCGTCGGTTGTGGAGGCTATTCCTGTGGATCGGGAGGATGTGTCGTTTAGTGCTGGTGTTGGTGCTGGGGGTGATGGTGATGTGGATGTTGAAGCTGCGGGTATCGACCTCGCGAGTGCTGCGATTGAGGAATCCGATATCGATGCTGAGTATGCAGCAACTGCGTCGCTGATTCGCGAGTTTTGGGGGAGGTTGGGTGTTGAGGCTCGGGAGGCGATTCTTATTCCGAATGTTGGGACGGAGGTTAAGGATCGGTTGAGGAGGTGGAAGAAGGCTGGGTCTGGGGTTGATGCTAGGGTTGATGGGCCTGGCTCTGTGGTTGGTGAACGTTCTGATGAAGATCCTGATCCGTGGTCTGGAGCGGATGTTGCGAGGCAGTTTATGGAGGTTTTGAGGTTTAATCGATAGCGGGATGTTCAAATGGGGGTTGGGTTATGATTACTTCTTATACATTTACTACGTTGTTGTGTGGACATGGCAGGTTGGAACAAGGTGGCGATGTTGAGACAAGCCCAGCACCGTCAGGGTTATAGGGAGAGAGCCATCATTCCTATATTATGAACACTTGACCCAAAGTACCGCCCAGTTCATTCCGTCTGCATTTCAAAGCACACGCTTGATCGTAAATCATCCAAGATGTAGAGCCTAATGAGAATAGACTACAGGAAATCGGTATTGGAAAATTGAAATGGAAGAGAAACATTCTCGTTAAAAAACCGCGACGTCAGCTAACATGGAAAAAGGCGCAATGGTGGGAGTGCGTCGTTTATTTTTGCATCATGAGCTGAACGAATTCGTTGTCTGTATGGAGATGGAGAGGTTAGCATTTGGGCAGACAAGTGCCCGTAGGCTGCAAGATTGTTTCCAAAACATACAGTCGATCCGGCCATCACCATCCTGATCAGCCTCGCGGATCATCTCGTCAACCTCGTCGTCGGTCAGCTTCTCACCGATGGAAGTCATGACGTGGCGCAGCTCGGCGGCGGAAATGAAACCGTTGTTATCGCGATCGAAAACCTTGAATGCCTCGCGGATCTCCTCCTCGGAATCGGTGTCCTTCATCTTACGAGCCATCATGGTGAGGAATTCTATCGCACGTCAATAGCCGTCTCTCGTTTATATCAGTGGGTTATGGTTAAGTACCAGGGAAGTCAATGGTGCCGTTGTTGTCGGCGTCAACCTCGTTGATCATATCCTGCAACTCAGACTCGGAGGGGTTCTGGCCCAGCGAGCGCATGACGGTGCCAAGCTCCTTGGTGGTGATTTGTCCTATTGGGAGAATTGTATGTTAGAATACGTTTCTCTTGAAATTCGATCGCAGAGGACACTGTCGTGGGCTCGACTGAGCTGTCGGGGGGCGACCATCACGTACCATCGCCATCCTTGTCCTATTCCGCAACAAAACAAACTTCCGGTCAGCATTTTCGACCTTCACGTCTTCGATTTATAGGTGGAATCACTCACAAACAGGGAGAATGCCTCCTTGTACTCAGACACTTGCTCTTCGGTGAGGGAGTCAGCCTAGAGGGTGCGATGGTCAGTGAGGTTCAAAGGAACAGTGTTGCCCCGCATTGTGGGGGTTTGATTTTCGACAACGCAACACACAAGTTGAGATAAGTTATGGGGTCAGGGACATACCATGATGAATGTAGATGGGAAAATACAAAGGAGGGGTCAAATGAAGAAGTTGAAAAAGAGGGTTAAGGGGAACAGCCTTACGAGAGTTACCAAAATAGCGTGCCTGAGGATGCCCAGTCAGCGTCGTTTCATCTCAGGGCGGTGGGGACCATCCTGGAGCTGAACGTTGCCACCATTTTGACATGTGTACTTTTTGTCCTTTGTACCTGGTTTGTTTTGATTTTATTCAAGTAATTTATATATTAATTATATCTACATCTCTTTTCAAAGGTTTGAAACTATATATCTATATTTTTATATATCCTTCTCGTATGATATTGATGTAACGCTGGAGAAAAGCTTGATCCCGCCCCTCTGTTGAGCGAGCAATGATAATATCTGCCGAATACACATGGAGCCTAATTGCATTAGGAAGGTCTTGGCTTTTGTTTTGGATTTCTTTTATCGTTAGTACTTTGTAGTAGACTGCGGGGCCCTAGATTTGTAGATCTATAGAACCAAGCAGGCTACAAGACATGCTATAATAGTCTGCATTAATAGAAGGCAGCTCTTCCTCAGTCTATTAGCCTTCGAATTTGCATTGTCTTTGAGAATATCATATGCCCTATTCTGGCCATGTTGCCCAAGAATCCGGGGTGCGGATGCCACTTTCAATTGAGCACGCGACCCATAGTACGATATTTGCAGCATTTGGGACGATATCACGAGAGACATCATTATCATCATAGTCGAGAATATATCGAGAATATATATATATGTTGTAGAACAAATCGTCTTCACAGGTTACCCAGCGATACGAAAATTACCCCACTCCACGTGGGCAAAACCACGGATTACATGATGAATACCGGGCATACGTGACCCCTTCCGACATGTGGAGAGCTCCTATCGTTCACTTCCGGCTACATCGAGACTCTTGAGCCACCATTCAATCCCAGCCTGACACTTTCCACCTGATCATGATTCTTATACCCCCACCAAACTAATAAACCATCCACACCACCCGATCCTCTCAACGCCCTCACAATGTGGCGGGATCGAACCAACCTGTATGCAACCCCATATACCCAACCCTACCCTAGGCGCAATCCGTCAGCGCCGGAACGAGCCAAAAGAAGAAACACTACCCATAAAACCCAATCTATAAAGCATAGCAATAACTAACACTCCTCCTCCAAACCCAGCTACCTCTCCTACCGCCAATCCCTAATCCACCACCCAGCCAAAAAGCCACAATTCACACCAACAAATGGCTTCCCCGACACACCCTCGCACCCGGAGGAAAACAGGCGCCTAATACCCGAACCAGACGAAGATGGCGACATGGTCATCGAGATGGACCTCCTCCCGCCGCGCTGGGTCGACGTGCAGGAAGAGGTCTCCGAACGGTTATCCGAGATCGCCCAGAGTTCCGCCCAGCTCGACAAGTTACACCAGAAACACCTGCTCCCTGGCTTCGGTGACGAGGACCTGCGCAAACAGGACGAGAGCATTATTGAGCGCTTAACGCAGGATATCACGCGCTCCTTTCATAATTGTCAGCGCGCTATCATGCGCATAGAGACTATGGTCAGCGAGTCGAAGGCGCATGGTGGTGTTACGAGTGGGGAAGAGACTATGGCGAAGAATATTCAGATCTCGCTTGCTGCGCGGGTGCAGGAGGCCAGTGCTAGGTTTAGGAAGAAACAGAGTACTTATTTGCGGAGTATGAGACCCTGCTTTCTTTTTGCGTTCTTGTTCTTGTTCTCTTTCCATAGACGGAATTGGTTGGTTAAAACATGCTAATATGGTGATTTGTTTCTGTGCAGAATTGCGAGATCTCGAAGGTATCGCAACGCCGTTCGATAGCACGCCTACGCAGGCGCAGAACCCATACACGGATCCGTCAATGATGGAGTCAGATGCCGACAGGTCCTTTTCACAGACGATGTTGCAGCAGACTTCGCAACGGCAGACTGGTCAGAATGATGCTGCTATTGCGCAGCGGGAGCGCGAAATCAACGATATTGCAAAGGGAATTATTGAGCTCTCGGATATTTTCCGTGAACTGCAGACCATGATTATCGACCAAGGAACCATGCTGGACCGTATAGATTACAACGTCGAGCGAATGGGCACCGAGGTTAAGGCTGCGGATAAGGAGCTGAAAGTGGTATGTTACCTTTTTTTTTGGTTCGATATTGCTGGAAATAGAAACTGACTCATATAGGCTACGAGTTATCAACAACGAACCACCAAGCGCAAGATAATGCTATTACTCCTTTTGATCGTGGTGGGAATGATCATTTTACTGGTTGTGAAACCAAAGGGGAGCAAATCAGCGCCTCCGCCACCTCCAGAGGATGAATCTTCAAACAATATCCGCTCTGTCTTAGCTTACAGGGGGCGAAGGCATCAGTTGTCAAACCGCTTTGCACGAGATCGGTGGATGGATCCGGATATATTCCGATGACTTTTTTTCTTTCTCCAAGTAGCATCGGTTCATAGTTAATGTGACCAGAAGAACAAACATGAGCAGAAGAGCAATTATTCCCTTTGCATATCGGTAGCTGCTGTAGTTGTTTACATAGTTTTGGTTGCATGTGAATGTATATGGAGATGCTAGACATCATGCAAGACACTTGCACAGAGGAAATTTGGGAGAAATTGGACTACAGGCCTACGATCAATGCCATATGTTACATGCTCCAACTCTTACATTTAGTTAGTTACTTCATACATGAAAAGAATGTTATCAAACATAAACCGAAACACGAATGCCCTAGAGGCAGTCAATGGAATAGAAGAGAAATGGTTAAATCACACCACACCAGGGCAGCCGATGCACATAAATTACCAAAGTAACATATGGGCCCGACCATAATGCTTCAAACCCACTTAGTGCTTACCCTGAGTGGCAAGTAGGTTAGCCACATCAGCATCTAGATCGCCGGCCGCGAAAGCCGCATAGTCCTCCTCGCCATGTGAGATCTTGCGCCTCTTTGCGTGGCCATCGGAGGCAATAGTGATGTCATTGCCATGGTTTGGAGAAGTAGTGGATTGATCAGTGGCAGCAGTCCCATTGCCTGATTGCTGCATGTCAGGGAAGTTCATGGGGTTCCATTCCGAGGTGTCGTCGTCCACATCTTCAGTAAAAGGGCCACGGCGGAGCTGCTTCTTTTCTGGCTGTGGGGACCCTACTGGCGTAATAGCTTCCACCGGGGGAGGTGTCAAAGCTTCGACTTCTGGACGGCTGGGTGCGCCATCGTGTCCGCTATGTTCGCCGGGGTTTGTGGAGGACTCCTCACTGGGGAGACCGCGCATAATCGCATCTTCGACCTCACGCTTCTCGTTATCGGCTGAGGTTTTCTTTTGCGAGAGTTCGGCACCAAGGACTTCCTCCTTTGATAGCTGTGCGCGGTTGGTCTGGAGAATCTTCTCAAGCCCATCGATCAGGGCGCGGCGCGACTTGATTACCTCGGAGACGGAGTTTTCTGCGTTGGCAAGCGTCTTCAAGAGTGAACTTAGACGTGCGGCGTGAACGGGCAGTGTAGGCTTCGGGGTCTTGGAGTCATGGAGCTTGTCGAACTCCGAAGTAGCGGCTGCGGCGGAATTGTTGGAGTTGATAACAGCCTTGTTGACAGCAGTCTGCAATGGGTTGAGAGGCTGTAGTTCTGACGGGGTGGATCCCGAAGAAGTGTCCTTGAAAAAGGAGCCCCCGAGGGTTTGTTTCTTGTTTGTAGGACGAGCTTTGTCGAGTTCTACAATATTATCAGTTTAGCTGTTCCCTCATTGTGCCCATTGATTCGACGTACCATCAATGCGAGCTTCCACTGCATCCAGAATAGCTCCATCGAATACATTGCGTTGTCTCCAGACCTCCACCACTCGGCGGATCCTTTGTTGGTATTCATTCGACGAGCCCTTGTAAGCTGTTGACGTAGCATCGACAATTATCTATTGTTCTGTTAGTTGGAGTCGCAATGGTGGACTGAGGGAGACGGACCGGGGATAGCGCAATGAGGAAATCATTTTTCCCCCGTACTTTGGATTGCTGGGCCACCTCTGTAGATATAATTAGCAAGCGGTGCGGAGCTCAAGTGTTGGAGGACATGTGTACCGTTGGCTAGGTAGATCAGGTTGAGTCGCTTTGGAGGCGGCGAGTCGCGAATCTTTTGGAGCCAAATTTGACTAGTGCGTTCAGCATGGCGTCTATAGTTACAGACAAAAAAAAATCAGCAAGTCTCTTTGGGTTTGGAGCAAGTGTCTGTACCTGTGGAACATAACCCATTGCGCAACAGTAACGATGCTTTCCTGCGAGTCGTTCAGAGCAGATAGCTTTGCCTTCACAGCATCATCAGTAAAAGCCATGATGACAAAAAATACTAAGTACTGCAATTGAACAGAAAGCGTTTGAGAAGTGAATTTATCAGATCTGAAGCGCAAGTCGCAATCACGGTGGGAGACAAATAGGCAACAAGAAGCAATTGAAGATCACTAGTGAGATTTTGAACCGCAGTAAAGTTGCAATCAAGTAAATTCACCGGAACAAAGCCAAAGGAAATATCAAACGAAGATCTCAACTGTCGACCTTCTTCATCACAAGTGAAGTTGAAGTGCTTTGTACCCCAAGCTTGAAACATGGATAAGCTTACCGCCCCGGAACCGGCAGAACAACGGGGCTCCGAGCCCGCCCCGGCCACACCTGTCAACACTACTTCCTCTAACTATCAACTTCCTGGCCCTTTGATTACTTCTCCTCCTGATCATCTTCTTGATTCGAACGTCTTTATTGAATCATACAACAGCCAAAAACAATCCATTCCCAGCATGGCTGATCGTTTTCCTTCCCTAGAGGACTTCTCTGAAGGTATACTTGAACCCACCTTACTTGCTCTCCTTACACCGGAGCTAACATGGCCCGCATTTAGGCCAGACCGAAGTAGCTGACATCCAAGCTACCACCGATGACGATTTCCTTGCCCGCGAGCGTGCCGTACTCGGCGAAGATGCCGAGCAATTCGCTACTTCTCAAGACCACGTTGCCGGCGAGAATGTAGGCGCGGGGGATGACGACTTGCTCGGCGGAGGCGACGAGCCCGTTGAGGAGATTGGTCAATTCGAATCATCCTTCCCGTCCGTGGCGACACAGAATCAGAACGAGGTATGAATTGGCTCTTGAATACTTGGGTGGTGAATGTACAGTATGCTGACCAGGGGTTACATCTATGCAGCGCGTTGCTCCCGGTGGCACAATCACTGGCTCCGGCTCACCCTTCCCCCGTACCGGATATCAGAGCGCCCAGGAACCCGAGGATGAGGGAGATGCTGTTCGGTGAGTCCAATCTCAAACACTGGATGACGGGGCGCATTGCCTTTGCGATCTGCATTCATCTTGTTTCAGCCTGGATCCCCAAACTAACGTCTGCTTTTCAATTATCAGTGAATGGCGTGAGAAGCGTGATGCTGAGATCACCCGCCGTGCGGAGATCTCCGCCGAAAAGAAGGACAATACCGTCAAGAAGGCACAGGAGGATATCGACGACTTTTACGTTTCCTACAACAACAAGGCTGATAAGAATCGCTCCCACGCCCGCGCCGAAGCTGAACAGTTCCTCGCCAACCGGGAGGACACCTCAGCCGGTGGCACCAGCTGGGAGCGCATTGCTAAGCTGGTTGATGTATCGGGCAAGGGCTCCGCGGGCGGTGCCAGCGGCTCCGGAAAGGAGCGTTTCCGCGAATTGTTGATCGACCTCCGGAAAGACCAGGAGGCTCCTGGTGCCAGCGGAGTCTAGATGGTTTGCTTTGGCGCGTGGGGGATAGAACATTCGGGAGTCCGGGGTTAAGACGTGGTATTCACAAGTTTCCCACATTTACTCATATGATATGGCTTTTTCTACATCCCCCTCCCCGCATTATTTGGTAGCCTGTCCGTGATCTGGCAGCTATATCTCTTGTTCTCTTTGTTTTATTTTACTCCACGCAGCGATGTCTCTAGGGGGTTTGTAAATTAGTATCTCACTCAAATTGATAGCATCGTTAATACCACGGATTTCCTTCTCCGGTCGGTTAGCCCTGATTGGTTATCTGGATTATACGCCTAATAGTAGAATGGACAGTCACAAATGTACAACAATCATGGAGGTGGTTGGTGAACTGTTCTCAAATCAAGAGAAATAAATGCCATACTCAATTCATATCATCATCGCTTTTTGCATATCCTTAGTCAAGCTCGGTAACATCACCACCGGGCTCACCAACTTCCTGTTTTCCTTCTTCTTCCAACTCCTTCAGTTTCTTTTGGCCCTCTGCTGTCGTGGCGTCCACAATTCCTTCCTCCAAGCTGAGCATGCCACCATTGCCCAATTGCTCCACAACAACTTCTGCCTCCTCGACGGACATCTTGCCGAGAACCTTGTTGACTTCGTCCAAGGACTCGGTTGCCAGTGCCTTTTGCAGGTCTTCAGGAAAAGCGTCGAAGATCTTGCGCACCTCAATCTCAGTGGGGTCCTCGCTATTGGCGGCGGGCAGGTTGATAGTGATCTTGGTGTTGGGGTCAACGGCATGCAGCTGGATTTGCTCTACTCCCGCAGGATCGTTGGATGCTGAGCCATCCTTGCTGAGTTCAGCGGAGCGGGTTTTGATGCGAGCGTAAGTTTCATTGACATCATTAAGGAATAGGGTTGATGCGCGGTGATCCTTGGTAGTGATGCTAGAAGGTTATATGTTAGCCATTGTTTGAAAAAGAAAAAGATAGAGAATTGACATACCGAGTGAAGAACAGCTGGATGCCGTCACGACCGAGCGAGCGGCAGTATTGCAGAAGCAGACCTTGGTGCACGCACTGGCGAGCATAGTCATCTTGGCCCTTGAGCTGACTATTGAATGCCTCAACAAGCAGGCCGTCGGTCTCTTTCTCGGCGACAATTTCCGGGTTCGCTGAGATGAAGTTCAGATACGCCTTGTAGTCTCCAGGCTTGAGCTGAGCAAACTTCTTTGCCAGCGGACTAATCTCGATATCGGCAGGGTCCTCATCATCGCCTTCATCGTCGGCCTTGGTGGCGGAGCTTGCCGCGCCCGGGTTCAGAAGCTCAACGGAGCTCTCTTTAGTTTTGGCAACCGCCTTCTCCTTCTCAGCAACCTTGGCCACATGTGATTGGTTGAAACCTTCATGTAGCTTATCACTGGTGATCTTGGCGCCTTCCTCCTTCTCAAGTTGTGCAAGCTTTGCAAACAATTCCTTTTGGAGTCCTTGAATCTTTTCCAGGTGTCCATTCACACCCTGGATGTATGCCTTGAAGAGGTTCTCGGGCTTAGAATCGCCAATTTCCTTCTTCACTTGGTCCACCAGTGAGCTCATCATCTGGGAAAACTTGGGCTGTTCCGGCTCGTGTGTGTATACTCCCTCCGGCGGGGTGGGGGCCTGGTCTTCGGCGGGGTTGCTTGCGAACTCCATAATAGTCGTGAAAATGAACTCGTCGGGGGAAGCAGACGAGTCTTCGTGCTTCTTCAGAGACTCGAGAAGCTTATCGATGCGCGACAGCAATCCATCATTGATAATACGCTCATACTTCAGAGTTTTGATTTCATGACGACGCTGCTCTCGTTGCTGGTGAATCTGGGCCTGCTTTGCTCGGATGAAAGAGCGCTTATCAACATTGGGATGAACTTCGACGTCTGAGTCATCGGACAGCTCCAGGGCGTCCCATTTGCTGTAGTCAAGGACCATCTTGTCGACAGTAAATGTGTAGAGTAGGTATGAGGTGGGGTGGGTGTATGAGCGGCAGAGGAAATAGGTGGGAAACAAAAGGTTTTGACGGTCCTGATGCAAAAGATAATGCAGCAAGTTGACCAATATATTGTCGAAGCGATTTAACACAGTGAAACTTGGAATAAATAAAGCTTCTGGCGCCAGAACAGACGAAGATCTAAAGCTCTCGACCGGCTTCCATGGGCGGTAAATTAAGGCAAAATCACGAGCGGTCGAATAAGGCAAAATCGGCCCCGAAAACCGCTTTGCCGATGGCCGTGGGCGTCGGATGAAGCTCCAGACACACCCGCTGTTAATCCATCACACGTTCCAAGGAGCTGAATGTGTGCCATGTGATGTACTCAACTTGAACATATTTCGTTCAGATATGGCATGTCGACGTTTTATTCGGTGACATCATTTTAACTCCGTTCCGTTTCTATCCTTGTCCGATCCAACTCCGAGATGCGCGGTGCCAGGCTGCCTGTGTCTCTGGCCTTGGGTGTCAGCCCACGGCAGGCTTTGAGACCATATGGCTCCTTTGCTCGCGATTTACTTCCACGGACAGGATCGTCAATCGTTTCTTCCGGCGACCACAATGGGTTGAATCGCCTCTATTCAACCGCCTCGGGTGCACTCCGGGATGGTGCCAACCCACTCTTGCTTCAAAATAACAACCTCAAATATACCCCTTCTACGTCTCGCATTGTCTCCCAAGCCCGCGTTTTATGTTCAACTTCTCAACTTCTCCAAGCAAAACCACCCGCAACCTCCACAGATCCAACTACCCAGTCAGCTCCAGAATTGAAAGAAGAAGTGGAGGAGGACAAGGGCTTTGAATTGTCTGAGAGAGCAGCGCAGGCAGCACAGGTCAACATGAGCGCCAGATTAGCCAAGGAAGGCGCATCGGGAAAGAAGTCCGGATTCGCCGAAATCTGGCGGCTTTTGAAGATCGCGCGCCCCGAATCCAAGGCCCTCGGTTTCGCCTTCTTTTTCCTCCTAATCTCCTCGTCGATCACAATGGCAGTTCCCTTCTCTATTGGTAAAATTATGGACGCTGCGACCAAGGGCATAACCGAAGGAGGCGGCGAATTGTTCGGCATGAGCATGCCCATGTTCTACACTGCTCTCGGTGGAATCCTACTTCTCGGTGCCGGTGCGAACTATGGGCGCATCATCATTCTTCGAATTGTTGGTGAGCGAATTGTTGCCAGGCTACGCTCCAAGCTTTTCCGTCAAACCTTCGTCCAGGATGCCGAGTTCTTTGATGCCAACCGGGTTGGTGATCTAATCTCGCGCCTTAGCTCTGACACTATAATTGTTGGCAAGAGTATCACGCAAAACTTATCCGATGGTCTACGAGCTGCTGTCAGCGGTGCAGCTGGGTTCAGTCTGATGGCTTATACTAGTGCAAAGCTGTCCACTATCTTGCTTGTGTTGCTTCCTCCAATTGGCCTCGGCGCTCTCTTTTATGGTCGAGCCATTAGGAACCTTAGTCGCAAAATCCAAAAGAACTTGGGATCTTTGACTAAGATTGCGGAAGAGCGTCTGGGCAACGTCAAGACTAGCCAGTCGTTTGCCGGTGAAGTTATCGAAGTCAACCGGTACAATAAGCAAGTCCGCAAGATCTTCGAGCTTGGCAAAAAGGAGTCTCTGATTAGCGCAACCTTCTTCAGCTCGGTGAGTCGGCAGTCTTGATTCTTCTAGGCCTTTTTTTTTTGCGATTTTGACTGACTTCTTAATAGACTGGCTTGATGGGCAATATGACCATTTTGACATTGTTGTATGTTGGCGGTGGGATGGTTCAGTCGGGTGCTATTAGCATTGGAGAATTGACTTCGTTCTTAATGTACACTGCTTATGCAGGCTCCAGCATGTTCGGCCTCTCCAGCTTCTATTCGGAGCTAATGAAAGGTGTGGGTGCGGCGAGTCGACTCTTCGAGCTGCAAGATCGTCAGCCCACGATTCACCCAACCAAGGGTCTCAAGGTTGAGACCGCGCGCGGACCCATCCGATTTGAGAATGTCACGTTCTGCTACCCTACCCGTCCCGCTGTGAAGATCTTCCAGGAATTGAACTTCGAAATCCCTCAAGGAACCAACGTTGCAATCGTTGGACCATCTGGTGGAGGAAAATCTACCATTGCATCAATTTTGCTCCGGTTCTATAGCCCCACTGAGGGCCGGGTCTTGATCAACGGGAAAGACATCAAGGACATGAACGCCAAGTCTCTTCGCAGAAAGATTGGCGTGGTTTCCCAAGAGCCCGTGCTTTTCTCTGGAACAATCGCTGAGAACATCTCCTACGGCATGCCTCGGGCAACACGCTCAGAGATCATTGCTGCTGCACGCAAGGCCAACTGTCAATTCATCAGCGACTTCGTAAGTTCGCCGAGCAGGTATTATTTTGATGAACTTAGCTAACTCAATACAGCCTGATGGACTCGATACTCACGTTGGAGCTCGTGGAGCTCAGTTGTCCGGTGGTCAGAAGCAGCGCATTGCCATTGCGCGTGCCCTTATCAAGGAGCCTGATATTCTGATTCTGGATGAAGCTACTTCTGCCCTCGACGCAGAATCCGAAACCCTTGTCAACAGTGCGTTGGCCGCTCTGCTTCGCGGCAACAACACAACCATTAGCATCGCCCATCGTCTTTCCACCATCAAGCGCTCCGACACGATCATTGTCCTCGGCCCCGACGGCAAGGTCGCCGAGCAAGGCTCCTACGATGAACTCAGCTCTCACCCCGATGGCGCCTTTACGAAGCTCATGGAATGGCAAATGAGTGGTGGTGAAGCAACGCCACCTCCGGCCAACACTATTGAGGCAGATCAGCTCTGGGAGCTTCAGAAGGAGGAGTCAGAGCCTGAGCTGGAGGAAGAAGAGGTAGAAGAGGTGGAAGAGACAGCCTCTCCAAAGAAGAACTAATCGTACTCCGAACCTCGTTCACTTCTAGCCCTACCCTTACACTACCATCTCATTACGGTGTCTGTTCATTCTTGTTGATGTTTTCTTTTTGTTGAAATACATGTTCCCTCATCTGCACTCACCTCTTACGGTCCTCTCTTCTCATACTCCCATACACATTCTCCATGTTAGATTTTCGATAGATACTAAGTCAACAATTACTGTGTACAAATCTTGATATCAATATTATTGTTTAAGTACTACTTTTGCTGCTCGGTATTTGCTATTCGCTCATGATATAAAGTTAAAGAAAAGTGGTTCTGAAAAACGGATTTACATGCTTCGAATATATTAGAATGCCAGAATTAGTGAACGCTCAACAATTTACATACTAGCACTTACTTGGGTATAACTAGAAGAATCCTTTGCGGTTAGGCTTTTGATCCCCTTTGTATACATCATCCGAAAAGAGCATCCAAAAACACATTGGAGTGTTATATATAACGTTCCATATATATATCACCCTAGTTAAATAAATCAGGTTTATAGAGTTTTACGTCGTCAATGATAGAAGCCGTATTCGTGGCCAAACATTCTTGTTTGAATATACCTAGTACTCTTTTAATCAAGCTTGCTACAAAAGGTATGTCAGTTGCAGGTGAGCCCTGACATGAGAACTTATAGATCGCCCGCCTGGCAGGTCCCGAAGTCCCGTGCGCCCCGGGCGGGTCCCGCGGGCGACATATCTTGCTTAGTAACCAGCCATATGCCGACCTCAACAGCGCATTACAGCTCTTAGCTATGATCTCATCCCCATATTTCACAGAGTCTTTTACTTATACATAAGAAGTAGTGACTGAAAAAGACAGCCATGAACCGCATACGTAGTCTCATTGCCCGCCCGGCAGCGTATGAGCGACTGCAGGACTCCGCTGCGGACGACGCCGATGAGACATACACGGAGCGACACCAGCAGTCTCCCTTTTCAAGATTACAGTATGGCATATTCTTCCTCCTCGGAGTGTCTATGCTGTGGGCCTGGTAAGTGAAACTCAACGGTCTCCGAATCCGGAGAAACAAGCTATGTGTCGGGCCAACCATAACTAACGCGGAGCACAATCTAGGAACATGTTCCTTGCCGCGGCACCATATTTCTACAGTCGGTTCCAGTCGGACGATTGGACAAGACTGCACTACCAACCGTCGATTCAGTCCATGTCAACTGTCACCAACCTCGGAGCCGCTTATGCCCTAGCAAAGCTACAGAAGAACGCCTCCTATCCACGGCGTATAACATTCTCGCTGTTGATGAATTCTGTTGTGTTCACTATCCTGGCCTTCTCGGCAGTCGTCATGACTGATTCCTCGCCAAGGGCATACTTCGGCTTCCTAATGGTGATGGTGTGCGCTGCGAGTCTGGCTACTGGCATCAACCAGAATGGCGTCTTTGCATACGTCTCCGGGTTCGGAAGGGATGAATATACCCAGGCTATTATGGGTGGACAGGGCGTTGCTGGTGTCTTGCCTTGCATTGTTCAGATCTTCTCTGTGCTGGCTGTGCCGCCGAAGGAGGATAGCGTTAGCCCAGACCAAGGTCAAGATCAAAGCCCTAGCATGCCTCAGACGAGTCCGTCGAAGTCAGCGTTTATTTACTTTCTTACGTCAACGGGTGTCTCCTCCGTTGCTTTGCTGGCTTTCCTCTATCATTTGAGACAACAACCTTCTTCGAGGCAAAAGTTGTCAAGGGATGAAGATGAGTCTATTGCGGATGACCGTGAACATTCTAAGACTGTCAGCCTGTGGACTTTGTTCGTTAAGCTGCGGTTCCTGGCGTTCGCTGTGTTCGTCTGCTTTATGGTTTCTATGGTGTTCCCAGTTTACACGGCGGAAATCCAGTCTGTCAATGACCCTGCCAGTTCACGGATATACGACCCTAGTATCTTTGTTCCCTTGGCATTTTTGATCTGGAACCTGGGTGACTTGGCCGGAAGAATGTGTGTGGCTATTCCCGGACTGTCCCTGGGACAACATCCTCAGCTGGCTGCCATTGTGGCCATTGCTCGTGTTGTTTT